ATACGACTCCAGGGATATCTTGAGTTAAGTGATGGGTAAGGATGCTTCTCGAGAGCGCGAAGCAGGTCAGTTTGGCCGTGTTAGCGTCAGCACGTGTTCAAGGGTTGACACGTGTCAGGGTCAATGCATTTTGGGCTTTGACCTGAGTTTCAAGGATTTCTTAGGATTCTTTAGACTATCGATACCCCGAGCCATATGTCTGTCATCGGACTTAGGCCGGCGGTAGTTGATACTTGAGGTGCGACGAATTCTAAGAGTCGCGGATGTTTTGTTTATGGAACGGCGATAGAGAGTTCGATCGCCGATCCTCGAAGGAACGCGCGTGTGGCCGATGACCCGAAGTCATGGTGCTGCATGGCACGTGTAAAAAGATAAGGGTGTTCTAGAAGGATCTGGCCACAGAGTGGGGAAGATCTTGCATCTTCTGGTAGGAGGACCATGAGGAACGGCATGGCACTTATCCCAGAACCGTGATCGAACACGCCTCGCGAACATTATATCTAACAAATATGTGTTTATTATAACTATTTTTTTACATCTACGATAATTTTAAAGATATACAGGGAAATATGGAAACGCCTATCTACCTTCAGGGGATGTTTTCACCCTGAAAAACTGAAATTGGGCCAAAAACAAAAATTGTACTATACTTCTCTTGAGGTCCCTTACAAATTTGCAAAATTTAAAAAAAATCGGATTTTTCGAGTTACCGAACTTCCCTTGTAAGCCAGAGCTCGGAATTAATTGCTCTTTTCGTCCAGTTTTCAGAGGCCCCGCCCCTTTCCACCCACCGCTAGCCGTACCCCAGGCGAGGGCCTTAGTCCCCGAGGCACCTCAGGTACTATGCGTTGCTATTAAGTTGCCGAGCACCTACAAACTGAACGACAGAGGGGCAAGGATCTGTGCCGTTCGCTCCACCTAATCCCTTTCAGGAACCCGTAACTTGAGAAGTCAACGGTAACATTGCATAGGCGTAACATTTCCATATTTGCAGGGGGAACATTTAACTATATAAACTTGCGATTTTTTCTGGATATTAATGGATTTTTTATAATACTTGTTCTTGACAACAGTTGTTATTATGCAAAATTTATGAAAATTACATAATGGGAAGTGTAAAAACTCTCCTATTTTCTTAATAATGTAAACCCCGAATCTACATCTACGTCAATGCGTCCGAATCGTCGCTCACTATCGCTTCATCTCATGTTTCAATGTCTGTCCTTAGCAACGTTCGTCACGTGATAGATTTGTGGATGTAAGGGCCTCGGTCAATAAACATAATACGTGTGACTGGAGGCAGGTCAACGAATTTGATTGGACGGCAACTTAGCAGCAACGCATAGTACCTGCCATATGAACTTTTCAGAGCGCATTGGAGCCACACTCGTATCGATAGGTTTCCACATTATGCATGGGGTACGATTCATACGGCACGCGCCTAAGGTGCATCGAGGACCTCGCACAGGGCAGGGCGAGCGGCGGGAGGAAAGGGGCGTAGCCTCCGAAAACTAGCCGAAAAGAGCAGTTAATTCCGAGGTCTGATATAAACAAAGGGAGTAAAAGCGACAACCGTTCAGTAGTGTTTTCGAACTGCCTAGTATTTGTGAAGCTACGGCCTTTACTCTAGAAGTTGTTTTTATACACGAAAAAGAAACTGTTGCTGCTTTGTTGGTAAACGCACAGCGGTGCATTAGCTTACCGTCAATAAAACATTTTTTAGCTCAAGCAATTTTCAAAAAAATAAAAGATTCTACTGTCGAATAATACATATTATTTTCATTAATAACCCGTGTTTCTATCTGCCATTTCCATTTACGATCTGTAATTTGTAATCATTAGCGTAATTGAGTAGAAGTCAAGGTGAGGACAGCCCACAAAACACGGATTGTTCCCCACTGTCAGAAATGATGGAAATAAGTGTAAAATCATTCTTCAGCTCATAATATCTCGTCACAGTAGAAATAAGCGTTTAGGTCAAAATATAATGTACAATTAATTAGAATTAAGCCACACTAGATACTTGACAGTGTTGGTTCCCATCTAATTACATCCCATCCCATCCCATTCTAAAAAATTAATCTCCCTCTTGTTTAAATACTTCGCAATTTAGTATTTTGGTGAACTTGTAGAAAAGCTACTCTCCTTCCGATTTCGATGATTTTGAAATACGTTGTAAAATTCGTCATTTTGAGCAACTTTTTTCTTCTAAGCTATACGTCGGATTCGATTAGCTTGCAAGATATTCGCGAAAAACTATGAGTACTACTACATTGAATTTCACCTGTACGTATACGTCCATGGCTGTGTGCATCGACAAGCAACCGACGTTTCTCTACTGTTTCTGTGAATAGCACCTCATCGCCCGGCTACCGTCCATAGAATGGGTGAGCTTAAAATTAAAGTTAACTAATTTTAATAATGTTGACATTGAACTTGCGTGGCCAGCCGCATAAAGGCGGCCGGAATATTAATATAACCTAACCTAACCTTACCTAAACATATAAGTAACGGAAAACAACATATTTCAGCAACATTAGTATTAATCATTATGCACCATCAGATTGTCTGCCGTTCGTACTAATGTTGGCGGTATTTTATTTTTTCTGTTATTTATACGTCTAAGTTACTTATACTATTTATACGGTTAAGTTAGGTTATATTAAAGTTGCACTTCATCTTAAGGGACCAACAATTTTTGGTTAAAAAATATCAAATCTTATAATTTTCGATATGAAACATTCGACAATGCAAGTTAAAAGTTTAGGAAACCAGTGGTTTAAAAAATACAATTACGTAAAAATGTACGTATTCAACATATTTATACAGGTTGTTATGACACCATATTGCTTCTACTCATATAAATGTTTTGGTTAGGTTAGGCCTACATCAAATTTTCCGGTCGCCGCGAGGTGGCCGGTCACGTTAATACCGAATAATTTTTATACATATATTTTTAAATAACCAATTAGAGTATGGGTAGAAATAATATGGCGTCGTACTAATCTGTCCAATTCCACTAAATACGTATATTTTTACACAACTGTATTTTTTAAACTATTGGTTTCCTGAACTTTTCATTTATATTTTTGGATATTTCAGATTGAAAACTACAAGATTTGATATTTTTGAACCACTAATTTATGGTCCCCCAAAACGAAGTTCTACCTATATTAATATTCCGGCCGCTTAAAGGCGAGTCAAATGTTATAATTTGATTTTTCAGTTCTCCCGTTGTGTGAATAGGAGCCGGACCACATGGTGCTGCTTACAAAAACGGTAGGTAAGCGAACTGGTGCACAGGCGGCCACGAGCGCATATGTATAGGCACAATTCGTTGTAGTAGTAATAATATTCTTTCGCGAATATCTCGCAAACTAATCGAGTCCGACATATAGCTTAGGTAGAGGAAGAAGGTTGCTCAAAATGTCGAATTTTACAATATATTTAAAAATCATCGAAATCGAAGGAGGAGTAGCTTATCTACAAGTTCACTAGTCATTTTTAAGCTTTTATTCTACTAAAGGTTTACAAAAATAAATAAACTTACAAAATAATTAGAAATAAAAAGTACATAAAATTGTCCCTCCGGGATTCGAACACGATCTTCTGCATGCTGCTTCTGCGTTCAGGTTGCTTGGGACTCGCGGCAGTGCACACGGACACGAGGGTCAGATATGCTTGTGCGTGGACACCATGGAAGTAGGAGAAGCGAGAAAAATTCGTCTCACGTCCCACGATTCTGACACCACTGGTTAAAGGACAATTTAGACAAGAACACGATGGAACACAGTACAGTGTCCTTCTTGTTTCTCTTTCTGTCTCATAATGTTAAACAGATAAATGAGACTATTTCTGCAGCCATGGTAGAAAGACTTTTACCCGCGTATTCCTATTGCAGCTTCAGCAAATTAATCTAAGCTCTACAGTGAGCAGCGTTGCCATAGGGAGGGAATTTTGGTGAAACAACAAGAAGTAGTACTATAGTACATCAAACTTGTATACATGGATACTTGTATACATGGTATACACAAAACATTTCTCGGTAAGACGTTACTTTATCCCCCCCATGTCATACGTCATTCTACTCATTTTGACGTGATGAATACGAATATAATTGTCGTTTTTGGCAAAAGTTACAAGTTTCCGAGACATTCGCAAAAAACTTTCTTACTAATGCATAGAACTTTACCCAAGGGTGTGAGCATAAATAGCCTTTCGTATTACAAATAGACAAGTTGTTGGAGATCCCAACATATGTTTCATTCGAGTGCCCATTTGACCATCTTCAGTGTGTCTTTAACTATCACTTTACCTTACGTAACTTTCAAAAAAAAAAATGAAATGTAGATCCATTTGAAGATGGGACCCATTTAAACAAACCTAAGCGGTACCTTTTGTTTGTATATAGTGGTGTAACTTCCACTTTCAACTATGCTTGTGGCTGTGTCACAGATGCACACGCATGAGTAAAATTCTACGTATCAGCAAGACAGATTTTTATGAATATCTCAGAAATTTGTAATATACGCCAAAAGCGATAATTATATTCGTATTCAGCACATCAAAATGAGTAGAATGACGTATAATAGGTGCTAAAAGCTTGGGGGGGGGGGGGTAAAGTAAAGTTTAGCCCATTACCCCTTCGTGAAAGAAAGTATTCATTATATAACTTTATACAACACATAAGCAATCAATTATTTAACTTTGAAAGACAAGATGATTCACTCGCTATGGTACATGAACGAAGCAAGTGATATCGTCTGCCTTTCATAATTCGTTCTCGTAGGCCCATCGCGCGATGATGCCTTGCGACACCCATCAATAATCGCAGTAGTATAGACAGTTACGCCCGTGACAAATCTTACTGTACTCATTATCAGACGTCTACATGGACGATCTACCTGAGCGTATCTAGTCTAATGTATGTTGATGGCACTTACTTTGTGTAGTATAGCGAATGAATCACCCTATAGAAACATGCTGTAAGAATTGCATACCTTTCTCGTGCCTTTTGCGTAGGAATTAAATTAAGAACTTGCACAGCTAACAATGCTTGTTTAGCTAAACTATCCATAGATGCTCTAGCTGTTTGAAATTCATGGTACTTCTTATTTTTAAATAAAGCTTCATGAGACGTAGATCGTGGTTTAATTTGCACAGATGCACTTTTTACAGATTCTGGACTTGAATGTCGCATGGAATTTGTTGGAGAACTTACTACTAAATTATTCATTGATCGTCTATGACTTAACTTTTGCTTTAAATATGCAGAAAAACTTGGAGAGATGAATCCAGAAGATAAAAATTCACCTAAAATAAAAAAAATATTTTGCACTTATGTAGAACCATTTGAAATTTATTTACAACAGTATAAATTTAAATAACACATAAGTGATTCAAAATAACGTTTTGAAAGAATAAAAATCATATTTTTTATGGTAATACAATCATTCAGGAAGTATGTAATGAATTTAGTTCTTTTTTCAACAATATCTCATACCAGCAAAAATGAAAAAGGTTATTAGATTAACAAAAATGTTATATTTAAATAATTCTGAAGTAAAAGCTTGATAAAATCTTGGTCAATAATATAAAAGATAAAATATTGTATATACATAATGTTCTGTAATATTTACTATATGAAGAAGATGATGATTCTACATGAGAAAATTACTTGAGAATACAGAATAAAATTCTTTTGTACTGTTTTTAAATACAAATATCGTTATTTTGTAAATAGATGTTTGGTCATTTTAGTACATACTTAAAATGTTATCATACGCAAATTTGAAGACCAAATTGTGGACAAAATTTAAAATTTATTTTCCAGTGTAAATACTGTATTTAATACTATATGTAAATAATGGGCCAATACACACTGAATAAAGCACAAGCGGTTTTCATAGAGCTCATGGACCCTCACAAAAGCTGAATGATACTGTAATTCACCTGGATGAATTAATTCACCTAGCTACTGACAGGGCGGTGGTACGTGTTTCGTTTCCGTCTTCGACAATTTCCTTATTTGGAGCTAGATACATACATCCAGCATAGTCAATCTTCTAAACTATTCTTGAATTGATGGTCAAGAGTATGTGATTTTCTGGTCTGACTGCCACGGACCTTCTAGACGAGCGCGCATAGTACAGGGTAATTCGTTTGCTGCATGACACAAAAGAACCTAGTACCTCAGGCCCATTTTTTTTCATATGTATACACCCACATAGTCATCTTGGCTACTTATGTTAGATGCAGCATACATGTATCCGCGGCTGTTCGGGTGTATACGTGTGGAAGGAAAACGGGCCTAAAACGGCGGCACTTTCTTTGTGTCGCGTAGCAAACGAATCACCCTGTACATTTGATTAAAGAGTACAGTTAACCCAGTTGTTGCGTACGCGCTTCTATTCGATTGGATAGATGAACTTCGAACACCGTCTTAACTTTGTGCGAATTGTTATTTATTTTCAAGTGGACAGTATGGTTGTTGATGGAATGACAACGAAACTTGTTACAAAACTTCGATTTATTTGACTTACAATCTTGCTAGTCGAAAACGATCTGTCTGTTCCACTGTCGTACCGTTCTATTTATTTGTACGCTGAGGCGTTTACAAAAAGAATCGTGAACGCCGATTCGCTGTTGAGGGAAAGGAGGGGGTGGTGTCGAAAATTAGTGGGGTTGAAACTATTTCCTGTAAGTATGTATTTTCGTCCCTTCCAACGGTCATCCGACGTTACCGCTCGTACCCTCGAATGACCCACGCAGGGGTATGAGGGGTCCTATTAATGACCGTAGCAAGTAATAAAATCAAGGAGCACCTCGACTACTGATGAACATCTGGGTAACAAAAATTATGAGTCGGCTTCGAAAACTTGGTATAATGCGTTGATAGATAATAAACTAAAATTTGGTAAGTAACGTTTCCTTGGACAGGTATTGCTGCTACGGCAACTTGTGGTACAAAGGGTTCTTTACGCGACACCAGTTGTTTTTTGTTCTTTAGCCTTTTATACATAGGACCTGCCACGTGTTTATAAGCGTCTGAATGCCAAAAAGAAGTTCTTATCTGAGCTCATAATTTCGGATCTAATTGTAAGCAAATGCAACATCCAGGCTTCTGGACAACGTCGCCTGTCGTCACCTTTGGAGGTCCTAAGCGTGGGATCGTCCTTCGAGGGTTAGAGGACATTTTTGGGGACAACGCCACAGCATTCGAGTGTATGGCAGCGTGCGAGCTGCACGCACCGGAAGATTCAAGCGTTTGGTTCGTTCCTTCAATAAATTCCTAAACGTTTCATTTGCGTTTGTGCGTAATTTTCTGCACTCTGTGAAACTGTTGCTTGCCCATTCTTACATAATATCTTCTATCTTTCCACGCTATGTCTACACGTATATAAACTGTCACGTTGTGATCTGTGTGACTAGCCAGCTATTATAACATTTACTTGGTGCAAAAACTATCTATGTATGAAACAATTTTTAATGAACCTCACTTTTGTGAAAATTATGTCGAACGAAATACATGTATATGTACACATATTCAAAATAGAATAAAATGTTAAATAAATATGAAACAAATATGTATGTGTATATACGATATAGCGAAATGTATTTGATATGTTATCAATCTTGATGTAATATTTTATATTTTGCCATTTTTATGTTAACATCTTCATTATTGTCTTATACAGAGTGTCCCAGAACTCATTTTCACCCAGTGACGGGGTGGTAGCTGGGGTGATTCTGAACAACTTTTTCCTTTGCGAAAAACTTGTTTGTAGCTTCGTTTTTGAATTATTAAGGAAAAATACTGACCAATCGAGCGCGTATAGCGAGCGGGCTCAGGGACGGCAGCGTCGGCTACGAAAGCGGGGCTTGACGTAGGTCGCAAACGAAAGGTTCGGCACTCCGCTGGCACAGCAAAATAAAAAACATGAACTGGTTGAACATTTTTAGTTGTTGTTCAAAATGATTATGGAATCTAATCTCTTGTCGCCTGTCAAAATGTAAAAAAGAAAATTCTAAACATTCTAAACAACAAATAAAAATGTTTGAAATAGAATAATTAATAAAAATTTGAAAACCATTTAAATGAAACTTACCCATTCGTTCCTAAATTAACCTGCTACGATGAAAGCAGGTAATTCCCACTGGGTCACTGTCGATCATGAACATTCGAGGAGGGAACACATTACGAAGAACAGCTGATCTCCAGACGAGATCATTGAACTCATTCAACCACACGGTCACTATCACATTTCACAGAATTTTCTTTCAGGTAAATAAACATTTTGGGTAAACTGTACTTTACCGGACCCAAAATTTTGGACCTTTTCATTTTAAATCTATAGTTTTTGATGTGTAGAATCCAAAAATGCAAGTGTTAACTTTAGGAATCCAATGGTTAAAAAGTTATAAGCGTGTAAAGTTTGATATTTTTAGCGCATTTGCTACGTTACTGCGACGCCATATTGGCTTCTTGTCCAATGAACGGTGTCGCTAGCTGCGGGCAGCAGGTGCCGACCACTTTAGCGGGTTTAGACAAATCGTAAATTTGATACTGTCCGAGTTAGTTAGGTTTATATTTATCTTAAAGAGTGAGGATACAGCCCATGCATTTGCTTATTGCTTCTACTGTATCAATTTTATGAGTAATTTAAATACAGCTAGTGATAGAACCCATACCCAAAAAAATTGAGTGTCCCCTAAAGTAAAGTTTAACCTGTATAAATATAAATCTAACTAACTTAGACAGTATCACAGTTTGACTAAACCCGCAAAAGTGGTCGGCATTGACATGCGTCTGCCCGCAGCTAGCGACACCGTTCATTGGACAAGAAGCCAATATGGCGTCGCAGTAACGTAGCAAATGCGCTAAAAATATCAAACTTTACACGCTTATAACTTTTTAACCATTGGATTCCTAAAGTTAACACTTGCATTTTTGGATTCTACACATCAAAAACTATAGATTTAAAAAGAAAAGGTCCAAAATTTTGGGTCCGGTAAAGTACAGTTTACCCAAAATGTTTATTTACCTGAAAGAAAATTCTATGAAATGTGATAGTGACCGTGTGGTTGAATGAGTTCAATGATCTCGTCTGGAGATCAGCTGTTCTTCGTAATGTGTTCCCTCCTCGAATGTTCATGATCGACAGTGACCCAGTGGGAATTACCTGCTTTCATCGTAGCAGGTTAATTTAGGAACGAATGGGTAAGTTTCATTTAAATGGTTTTCAAATTTTTATTAATTATTCCATTTCAAACATTTTTATTTGTTGTTTAGAATGTTTAGAATTTTCTTTGTTACATTATGACAGGCGACAAAATTCGTATTCATTTTAAACAACAACTAAAAATGTTCAACCAGTTCAATTTTTTTATTGTGCAATGCTAACGGGGTGCCAAGCCGTTCGTTCGCGATCTACGTCAAGCCCCGCTTTCGTAACCGACGCTGCCGTCCCTGAGCCCGCGCGCTATACGCGCTCGGATTGATCAGTGTTTTTCCTTATTAATTCAAAAACGAAGTTTCAAACAACTTTTTAGCAAAGGGAAAAGTTGTTCAGAATCACCCCAGCTACCACCCCTTCACGGGACCAACGCGAGTTCTGGGACACCCTGTATATGGTGACCATTCGCACAGGCCTGGGTTTTTCCTGGCGGTCAATTGACACGGGCGTTGGCCACGGCGCACAGTGCTCCGGTTTGACGTAAGGTTTGACATTGCCTCATAACTTTTAATTCGTAAAAGGTATGGATGCAAAACTTAGACTGGACACTGTAGTAATGTCAGATTAAGGGGGTAGACACGGCACGTGACCTCTCCGTTTCGGGACGTTGGTATTACAGCAGCTTTTTCGTTGGGCCTGGCGGATCCACTTGCGTGTTCTGTTACGAACTTGAAAGGTTTAATTCTCAGCTGGCGTGCGCGCAACACGATGCAACGGAACGTGCAACCTGAGAATTATTTTTAGAAAAAGTTATTAAGTTTTTTAAATATATGTTTTTTAATTAATAAAAGTATAAAAGGATACGTCATGCAATTGGAACGGGTTATATCTTGAATTTGGTAAGAGATAGGAAAAAGTTGTTTATGTAAATGTTCAATGGTATGATAATGTCTATTTTTCTGTGATTTCATTTTTCTCGTGAATGCATCGATGCACTCAAAAAATGTAAATCCACTTTTTATTTAAATGGAATTGCATTTTTTTTACTTGTGTAAACTCCTTGAAACATTCTGCATAAAAAAGTACTATGGTACTACAATTAGAACTAATAAATGTAGGGGCCTCGCGTCTATGCAG